TAAACATACTCTAATACAATAGGTAATTGATTCTAGTTCCATTGACTAACTCTATTTTTTCTGGGCCAAGCCTATTACTGTCTGATTCACTTGTTCTTTTTTGTTGATATTTTTTCAGTATGGAATGTATCCTAGTTCCTGTACAGATGGTATTATCAGGTATGGAATTCTAAACTTAAGACTCGCATGTTTAACTCCTTTGTAAGTTTGCCATTTTGAATTTTCATCAAACTGTTCTAGTTTTTCTTCTCTTCCCCTGTATGTTTATGACCAAACCTGTTCATTATCTCGGTTTTGAATGTGGATGTTTGTCAACTTAAATACAAAATTCTGTTTCACTTAGTAACATCGTCAGGTAGTAGTAGACTCTAACTATGATCTTTGATGAAATAGATTTCTATTCAAAATTTGTCAAGCCTTTAACTACAATCTACATTAAGACTAGAAACCAACTTACTGCTTCTTCACAGAGAACATTTTTAAATCTTAAATGATTAGCGTGTAAACCATAAGTTCCAAAATGGATTTTATATGCTTATAATCCACAAGGCTGACTTAATTTAGACCCAGTCACGGGGCTCAGTTACAACATAACAACATTTTTTTACAGGATTAACAAAAGTTACAATATTTCTCTTTTACAAGTAGAAACTAAGTTTTGTACACAAAAGAACTTTAAGATATCTAGCTTGTTTACAACCAGCAGTGAACCATAACATGCTTTTGGTCAAAGAATAAGTTCGTGTTACCAACTCAGCTGCCAAGCTCTGTCTTTGGTTGGTTGAAGTTCTCTTGGCTTCCCAAGTACTTATAAGTTGCTATAGAATACACTAACCTGTAATAACATGGAAAAAAACAACAATTTCTGTGGGCTATAAGGCTCAATAATTATCAAATAGTTTAACAAACTTTAAGTATTCAAAATAGCCAAACAAGAGGCTGTTCTTAATAATTTTCAGTATAGTTCTCTGCACATTCAATGATAAATTGGCAAATGTATGTTTACCCATCATTAGCCTAAGCCATTTGCTCAGTGAACATTATTAAGAAACCAATTCCCAAACTTCTCTTAACGGTACAAGACCTCAACTATTCGGTTTTTAACATTTAAAGACTAAGCTTTTAATATTTTTACATTTAAAGGCAGAGATGTTTAACACTTTCATTGTTGTCTCTTTTGTGCTCTTTATAGTTTTGTTGGCAGAGATGTTGATGTTGAACCTATTGGCCAGAAAAGTCAGAAGTTTATACAAACAAATGCTGCTAGCACTAAGGGTAGTAGTGGAGGGGCCCTGGTAAATCAATTTGGAGAGTTGATTGGGATGATTACACGTGTACAGAAGACCTTTTCTGACGCATCAGGTGGGGTTGCCTTTGCAATTCCACTTGATAGGGTGAGTATTCAGTCCATCATGCTCTAAATGTTGCTACTACCTTTTGATGCAGCAAACATTTTAAGGACTTTATTGAGGGGCATATTCTAACATTATTTTGGTATTAATGTCATGTAATCTAATTAAATTATGAGAATTTACCCCTTTTTCTTGCTTGAGAAACACTAGCCACTCATCTTTTTTGTATCCAGGTAGTTGATGTTGTTCACCAGCTGTTGAGTAATGATGGTAAAGTGGAACGGCCTTTTTTAGGGATTTTGTATGGTGGACGAGAGCTACGTGTGAAAATGGAAAAGTTGGGAATGAAGGGGGTGGCCTTTAAAGATGCTCCTAAAGAAGGTCCAGCTGGAAGAAAGGTGTGCATAGTTAGTTTCCTTTCCTAAAATGATAGTGTTACCAATCTATTTTCAGTCTTGCGAAGAGAGAGCCAGCCCTTATTTTATTTATTTATTTATTTTAATTCTTGCAGAAGCTGGTACCAACTTCATATATTCGTGGTGGTAAGGAACTCAAATTGGGTGATATAATAACATCTGTGAATGGGAAAGAGGTCACTAATGGCTTGGATTTGATTAGAATTCTTGAAAACTGCAAAATTGATGAGGAGGTATCTGTTTTCTGGAGCTAACTGTGAAACCTTTAGTGGCTAAAATTTTTCCATTTTCGTGATGCCTTTTATCTTGAATCCTTTGTGGTATAATGTTCATTATCTTGGTAACTAGGTTACTCTGGAGATGACCAGTGGCAGTAGCAAGAAGAGGAAGCGTAGGCCTAACAAGAAGACGGTCCATGTAAAACTTGAGTCAAAGTCAAAGCTTGAGGAAACAGCAGGTCGGAAGTGGGGGGCAAATTATATTTAACTACAGTTTGAACACAATAAAATGTCATTGTTGTTCTTTTGTATTAAATCCGGAAGTCACCGTTGGATTTCAATTAGTTCATAATTGAGTCATGTTGTATTCCATGAAAGGACATGTGACTGGCTTAGTTTAGTAGCTTGATAGTCTATCATCTACTTTCTTGATCCTATTTCTTCTCTTAATAGAGTAATGTTACTATTGTGAACAACTTGGAAATGAAGCTTCCAACAAAGACTTCTTTATGTAAATGTCTCATATTTTGTTGTCAGATCCAAATTTCTTGCTC